GATATTGAACTGTCTGTGAACTGGGTGAAATCTTTTCTTGAGACCTCAATCTCAGGCACCTCTAATTGTTGAACTCTAGGGAACTCTTAGGATCTTGAAAAAGTTGTAAACGTTTTCTCTAAAAGATACTATTATTATTGAAAGAAAGAAACAAACAAACAAACACGAATTTGTCTCTAGTAGTTTTGGGTTCAAACAGCTAAATGTTTCGACCATTAATAGTTCATTTCTCTTTGGCAGAACACTTAAAATGCAAAAAAGAAACCAAAATATTGCTGAAAAATGCAAGACGTTCTGCTTGACGCACATTTTATTTCATTTTTTATATGAACATGTTACATACTACACCCGCTCTGAAAACAAACACTTTCCTAATCTTGGTTGTTACACAAAGCAGTTTGAGGAGAGAGACTGTTGTACAAGACAACCTAGCATAACAGTTGTAGCTACAAATAAGATTAGATTTCAAAGAAAAGGGACACTGTAAGAGGTGAGATCACATCTCCATGGCTTCTCCTGGCTGTGTTACTCTTGTCTCTGTTACTTCCATCACAATGGGTTTAACCTCTTTTGTCAGAACAGCTGTGGAGAAATGAAACAATTTTATTACACCACTTTGTTGTTGGTACTGCCTTCAATCCTGAAACCTATAAGTTTTATTTTATACTTAACTTTTGATATTAAAATTTCTACTTTGTACAAGGGAAAAAATACAGGAAACAGTAGTTCAAACAGTCAAATCAAAGCCATCAAGCAGTACCCTTGTGTGGTACTGCTTGTTACGACTTGACTGCAATGGAAAAGATGGTTCTTACTATCAAGTCTGCAGAGAAAACTCTGGTGTGTGAATATTTAGATGAAAGCAACTGCATAGTGCCACATATTCTATCATCAATTTATTGTACAGCTTTATTATGCCCCCTGTAACATAAAATCCTAGTTTGTGATCATTCAAATGAAGGGAAATAAATGTAACTTTAAACTAAGTTTGAATGAAACCTTTACAAGTGTGTCATGATCCAAATTAAAGCTGCTGAGTAGTACTTTACTGTGGTAAAGCTTCATTTTCAAGTATATTTGTAAAAAAATTTCTTACTTTTACAAACTTTGGCATTTGCATTGAACCCACCTGTTGCACCTCTCTTGTAGGAATACTTTCCCTGTCTCACCCCCTTCTCATTTGCCACATCATACGGCCTGAGGTATTGTCTTCCTTCTTTAGTAATCACACAAAGATCAACATTACTTCCAGAGCCCTATTGAACAACCAAAGGAACAGCAATCACTTTAATTTCCATAAAGCATGAGGTACACATTTCCCACTTTGACTTGTCAAGACAGGCTCGTTTATAACTTAGTGGAGTTTGGCTGATTTGGAAGTGAGAATCATTGCTTACTAGGCTTACATGAAGCAAAGTGTACAAGTTAGATGCATCTATCACTATGCTAGTTTTTGATGCATCCAGACAAAAAGGATTGTACAATCTTATTCCAAATAACCAGCATCAGTGTACAGTAACAAAGAACTAATAACATGAAATTGAAAAACACTGCACACAGTATGTGCACTTACCAAATCATTAAATATTCCTGCAGCAATTGCATCTCGTACCAGTTTTTTAGCATCCTCGAGCTAGAATAAGAGCATCAATTGTTATTAGAACATTGTACAACTTATAAATGCACCATGCACACCATAACAACAAGTGTATAAAGAGATTTTACCTCCATGTCAGGCTTATATCTTGACTCAAACACTGACATGGCAGCCAAAGAACCAGAACCTAAAATTGAACAAAAGCGTGTTACCGGTATATGCGGACTTTGTACATCTATGTAATATGACCATTCAGTTGAATCATGGCAGACGTCCTACGCCCTCAACAGTTTAATTCACTTTAGGTGACCAACCACCTTTCAAACCACAGTTTTCGCTGCCCGGCTGTATTTCTTTCAAGTGCAGTGTGTATCTACCAGTACTTACCCATTGTGACATAAGGCAGCTTGTCTGTACTGCCGTGTGGATAGACTGTATGCAGTGTTGGACCATTCAAGTCAACACCCCCCAGGACAAGTGCAGCACTGATGTATCCTTGATATCTATAGATTGGAAATAAAACAGGTACATGTGATTAAAAATGTTTTAACCAGACCATTAGTAGTTGGCTGATTTTGCCAACTTTTACTACAGCATCAGAAAAATAGCTCGTTAGAGTACAGGCACAGCTGGTCCCCACTAATTCAAACTCGCTTATTTCCATTTCCTCATTATTTTGAACTCAAAACCATTTCTATAGGATTTATTCTTCAGTCGTTTAATATCGGCTATTTCAAACTATTTATTGTTTCCACTGAGAGTTTGAGAAAGTGGGGTTAAGCTACATGTATACATTTGTAGCTGACCAAGGTCATTAAGAAGATGGTGATTCTTGCTGGCATCCATCTGCATATGACAACCCTACAAGAATGATTACATAAAACTAAAAGGCACAATTTTATAGCATACAATACCTGAACAATAATTGTTTCAACATGCGTAATGCAGTCACAATTCTGGCCTGAAAAATATCAACATTAACTTATCAGTCCTTAACACTGCTACAAGGAACACACTAGAACTATTAGCTATCTTTCATAAGCTCAATATTCTCACTTATTTTTGCAAGACCAATCAAGACAATTTTTCTTTTCAAAATTAAGTTTAATCCTTGAATAAGTACACTGTACAGTATGTCACTGTGACAAGGTAATGTTGTACATATCACTAAACAACCCATTTAAATTGTACAAATTGCTTTTTGAAGAATTGAATCACGTACTGTATTTACCTGACGTCCAGTTGATAAGCTGTGCAACTGAATATGGGAAGAGATGAGATTTGTGACATACTCTGTGTCAGCAGCAGTACCAGCCCCACAGCAACTGAAATATAGATAATTATTTTCCATGCACACAATTTGCATATAATCTATATAATCATGAAATGTGTATCACACTGACAGGAGAAATAATGAACAACACTGAAAGATAACAGAGAAGTTGAAAATACTTACTAAATATTGGGAGCAATGTAATGTATCTTGGAGCAGTTTTTATCAGCAACAATGGTATCCTACCAAGTAACAAAAAACAAATTATATAAACAAACATGTACATGTACATGTAGCACTTATCATAATCAACACTCATAGAAGATACTAGAGTTTGAGTACAGTAGAGTTTGAGCTGGATTTAAAATAGCTGATAAATATTCTTCAGTGCTTGTTACCAGTGATGTCAAGCCTCCATTAGCTACAGTACATAGATTGGTAACCAACTAACCTCAGTTGCTCTTGTATCAGCTCCTAATATAACGCCATCCTAGAAAACAATAACAATCAATTAAACAGTTTTCATCACCCCACCCCTCCCCCCCACCCTCCCGTCAATTAATAGTATGGCTCCTGTAATATTATATAACAAGCAACTTTGCCCATAGGAGAGAAAACGACACAATAAGTAATTCAGCCTGACTTTTCAACGAAATTTCTAAACACCCTCAATCCTTGATCACAACTTGACAGGTAAGCGGTTAAAGCAAAATCGCACGAGGCACTAGGCTATACAAAGATCGCAGTTTTGAGTTTGGTGTACGACAAGCACGGTGGCTCCGATTTTCCAGTCACAATAAATTTTCCTATACGGCAAATATATATATATAAAAAGATACGGTATTCTACTCCTCTAAAGGAAACGTTTTACAACGGTAAAATCTAACCTTGAATACAATTCCCGCAATCGTTGTGCCGGTCTTCCTTGCTGTGGGCAACTTAGCGCCCATTTTCTCCAGGATGGCATTTCTACAGAACGATCAAAAACTTTCCATCAATGAAACGTCATTACAGGAACATAAAAATTGTCTGCTACCTTTACCTTTTACAGTTTTCAAACGAAAATCCACCGCAATGTTCTTGAGCCACGGTGCCACCAATAGCCGCCATGTTGAAAAATTTTGTGGAGTCATCCTTAGTGTGCATGTGCTGACAGTAAACACCGCTGACATCCGGAAGACTCTCTCTGACCCAGCCTCTCTCCGTTGTCAAGATGGCGGAACATTTCGAATGTTTGTCTTCTTTCCAAGTTCTGGACTCTATTCCCGTCGAAAAATACCGTTCCAAACGAACAGGAATCAACTTTTGTTTTGCTAAAGTTCCTGGCCCGCTGGTAAATGGTTTTCTTTGTCTCGGTAAGTG